AGAAAAAATCTAAATAAAAACGTGTATAACACATGATTTATACAACACTGTAAAATGTTCAGCATGCAACTGACATTTTTGTTCTCATTTATACACTTTACAAAATGAAAACAATGTACATATTTAATCTCATTGATACACTACAAAATGAAAACAAAGTCAATATTTAATCTCATTGATACATATTACAAAATGAACAAAATATACACATTTAACTTGCACCAATGTATACATTTCAGCAAAATAATCATTTTTGAAAATATCCAATAAAACATGACATTTAGAGATTTCATTCTAAAATATTTGATACACAAAAGTTTATGCGAAATAATTTTTTGATGCGAGTTCTGAAAAAACTACTAAACTTTTACATTACTATTATTTCCATTTATAGTTATGAACCTGATATTATTCTTATGATTTTACCTCAAAAATATATGTAAGCCAAAAATATTGGAACTTTTATGAAACCTAGATAGATTAAGATGCAACTTGTGTGATCTACAAAATGCAAAGTACAAAATAAGAGTTTATCATTGTCCCAATGGCCAAAAAGTGAAACTTTTCGTCTATAAACTCATTTATGCTGATCTGTAACATATTAGTATGGCCAAAAAATTAAGAATGTTTTCTTTTTATTTTACAATAAAGTTACAGCATTTAATTAATGAGGTCGAAGACACAGGGAACAACTTTTTACATAACTGTCTTCCTATCTCACAGTTACTCCTTACTCAAGTACTAGGTAATGTCTAGGGCTGGCCCATCTAAACTCAGAACCTATTTTGTACAGCTTCTGGAGTCCAGCCATTCCAAGCAGTCACCTGCTTGAAACTCTTCAGAAAATAGTTCAAATCTTCCTTCGATTGTTAGTGCAGTAATGTGCAGAGAATCATGATCATGGTCCAGAGCTTTTTCTTTGCAACTTATCAGCCATCACTTGATTGAGATGTCCTATTATACACACAGCATTAAAAGCATTTTCAGGGACTCCAACATTTTGATGTGTGGTAGGCCTTGCTTTAGGGTGGAAGAATGATCATTCTCTGGGTCTGCATGGTTCCAGGCTCTTGTGTGGTTATCTCAGTAGTATATCTCCCTGGTGAAAGAGACTCACCACTGCATCATAGTCTCATTCAAATACAGGAGAGCTGTAACCTCTATATATATATGACATGAACTACCACTGAAGGTCACTGCTATCGATATTTTTGCACAATGTGCCATAATGCAGCAACACTGCCCATGGAAAGAACAGTTGTTATTTCCTCCAGAGGCTTGTAATGGCCTGATGGTTAAAGCACACAATTCACAATGTGAGGGTCAGGGGTTCAAATCCCATCTCCAAACATGCTCCCCTCTTCAGCTGCAGAGGCATTATAATGTGACAGTCAATCCCACTATTCATTGGTAAAAAGTACACCAGGAATTGGAAGTGGGTGGTGTTGACTAGCTGCCTTCTCTCTAATCTATCACTCCAAAATAAGGGATGGCTAGCACAAATAAACCTCTAGTAGCTTTGCATAAAATTCAAAAATAAATATAAAATTATCCTCCAGAATAAGTACTGGGGTAAAACTTGTTAAGTGGTTAGAAAGTTTTAATGGCCAGAGCCTCTTTGAACCTTAGTGTTCTTTCACCTGTTGCCTTCAATAGAATGTCAGTGCTCTAATTTAATATCACAGTCACACTCAATAGCATGCTTTAACTACTGGCTACTAACTTTCTTAGTAGGCAATGCAAGTGTGAGGGCAAAATCATTTGTGAATTGAAAAAAATGATAGAGAACTTGTCTTTTAATGGATTTCTGATTTTGTTTTTATAAATAGTAGCATAATATTCAATTATTTGTACAAAATTGTATTATTTAATGAAGTTTAAAGAGGAATTTAATGAAAAAATTCCTAAAAT